TTTTCTTTTCTTTTTCTTTTTCTTTTTCTTTTTCTTTTTCTTTTTCTTTTTCTTTTTCTTTTTCTTTTCTTTTCTTTTTTTTTTTTTTTTGGGGCTAGAATTGGGGTCAAGGGACGTTCCCCAAATCAGAAGCAGGGGGGGTGATGAAAGCTCCAGCTTGCCAGGAGGGGCAGCTCGCGCCATATGTTCTGCCAGTTGCATGTGCTGTGCTGTAGGCCTGTGTGGTTCCGCCTGCGGGACGGCCAGGGCCGGGCCAAGAAAGGATGGCGCCGGGGGCCAGCGCAGCGAGTTTCCGGACCCGGTGGGTGGCTACTAGGTACGTAGTAGTGCTGGCTAGTTGATGGGCGGCAGCGTTAGCCTCGCAAGCAGCACATGCGGATTGGTGACAATCCAGATATTGGCTGTACAGTAGTAATTGCTTTGTGCTGCGAGATTGCAGGCCTGATGGTGTCGATGTGGGTAGTTTTCAGATTTGATCAATGTGAGTGTAGTGCTCATGCCTGTATAATAGGCAGATGAGCACCATGGCAGAGTGCTTTTGCCACGCACTCCGCTCCGGCGGCAGTGGTCGTGGTAAGGACTGGAGTAAAGGGAGCAACAACGGCGGCAGCCCTCGATGCAAGGCCCGCGGCAGCATTCGCGGACCTTTTTATTTTAGCGGGCTTCTCGACGCAGCGGCCGAAATCTGCCATCGAAACACCGGAGCTAGAGGCTGCATGCCAGGTAGTCCGCATCCCAAGCAGGACGCATGACTGTCTGCGCGGAACTAATGAATTTGTCGGCCAACTCCATCACCAACTAGTAGCTGCCATCGTTGGACAAGCCCGCATTCACTACGGTAGCCTGATTTGCGCGCGTAGACGAGCTGAGCCCTGTCGTCCACATGCAGAAATCATATATACGCAGCAGTAATGGGCATAACAAGATGCTGAAGCAAAGAAAATGAAGAGAAAGTGGTGTGGGCTGTTAAAAACAGGCAAAGACTTATGCTTATACTTACATGTAGCATGCAACAAAACACAGCCAAAGAAAAGATTGCATCTAAAACACTATAGTATTTTACTCTTTGCTCGGACCATGGCATGTGAAAACGATAGTTTCTCTCTTCCCGACAATTCGGGTCGTGCTCCATAAATACTACGTGTCTGTTGCACTGACAGCGGTGCCACAGGATCAGAGAGTCTTGGGGGCTGAGACATCAACGACTACGTGTTCAGCGCTAAGATGAGACATGCCGCAGTGGGATACCCGGTTTGCTGGTTCTCTGATCTCTGCGATGTGTGTTTTATGTGTGGTGGTAGCATTTGTCTAGCACGATCATCACCAGTATCGAGAGACGGG